CTGGCATTTTAAAGTTCATTTATTAACATTTTAAAAATAGCTTTCACCTAGTAAGCAATTAAAAACATTCCGTTATATTAACACTTTGGTTTTTAACTATGCCTCCCATCTTTTTTTCTGCTGATTAAGTTTTCTGTTACAAATACTATAATCGGGATCCCTTTCTAGCCTTTAACCATACTTTTATTCCTTTTACCTAAATGTGGACAATTTTCATTTTAATTGATATAAAGTGTTTTTCTGTTTCATGCGAACAAATATTCTGGTATGTATCATAAAAGAGATGGAAATAAAACACTCGCTAATTCTTTCTTCCAAACTGGACAGATTCTAAGGGGGCTGTACTTACGAATATTGAATAAACTCAATCTGGAGGCATCATTTCTGAAATGTGCAAGAAAGCTTGGGGGAAAGGGGAACTTGATAAGGAGGAAAGAATAAAAAATCTACTTTCTGAAAAAGAAATACGTGGTGGAACAATAATAATGGACAGCTAGTTTCAATGAGCAATTACTTGTTACCTGAAAAAAAGTGTGAATGTCAAAGTTTTTAGGAGAAGTGGATTACATCAAAGCTCTGAAATATTGGTATTCTTAGCTTAAGAAACGAATTTTACTTCAATTGTGAAGTTTTCTACTATAACTTAAGAAAAAACGCAACACTGTGGTATCTGACATGGAGAGTATCGTCTATTACATGCAATAGAAACAGAAAATAAAAATGTAATTTCTATCTTTGATATACTGAGAAAGAAAGCAGAGGTAAGAGAACCTGGGAAAGAAAGGGTATAAACCACACCAATAAAAGATAGCAACTAAATGATTAAATGAGAGAAATATTTGACAATTATGTAACATAAAGGGTCTAGTTAGAAAGTACACTTTATTTCATAGATCAATTAGGTGATAAAAAATTAAACCCAGAAAAAATATAGCTTTCATTAAAGAAATGATCCAATATTCATGAAATAACTGCATGAACAAGTGAAAAGGGAAATGCATGGACATTGAGCACTGCTGGGGGAGAAGGGGTTGCTTTTTAAAATCTAAACAAAACAAACACCAGGCCATATTTTATACTACCATCTGTATAATAGTTAATGATTTTCAAATATCCTTTAACAAAATCTGAACTCTTTCCCATTTTGAGATTTTTTAAACTTTTAGACCTAGTCTGAATATTTTTTAAAATATTGCTGATCTACAAAATATATTCTTAAAACCAAAGGCCACTGACTATAGCTTCTTTATACATGGCCTGTGTTAGTAGATAGTTGATAGTTTTGAAATGCAAAAATGATGCAAGTGCCAATAATAATGTTATTTCATTACTTCTGTACAAAGGAAATTGCCAGTATCCTTAGAGTAAGGGTGCATTATTAACATAAGGTAAGTGATGGGCTCTGGAAAAAGATCCTCCCCAAAATTCAAAAGCCACTTAATCAAATTTGGTTTCAATGACTATCAGTTGAAACTAGAATGTTTCATTTATTTCTTAAGGGCATTTTCTAGTCAAACAGAACAGGAGAAAAGAGGAAGGGGTCAAAGCAAGAAATAACTATCCAATTAGAATTATCTGTCAATATCAGACTATTCTTTCTGACTTTGCTTTTGAAGATTATATGAAATTCAAGTATAAATGAGAAAAGACCCCAGGAAAATAACACTATTTCTACATTTGTTCTTGCTTTCAATGACAAAAAGTCTAAAGTGCAATTCAATTAGAAGGCAATAAAATCAGTTAGTGTTTCTTACTGGTCAAATGATAGACTTTATTAAGTGGTGTGTTAAAAGTTAAAACAATGGGGGATAAGAGAATGAGGGTCGATATTTTTTCTCTAAGCTGTTTATAACTAGTTTATCTCCCAAGTTGGAAAAAAAAGAGAGAGAAAATTATCCATTTAAAAATCAAAGCAAGTTTAAAAGGAAATTCCTCTAGGATGCTAGATTTCTACTAAATTTCTGGCCATAATGTATGAAATTTACTATAAATACCACACAAATCTGTTTTTTTCAACAATTCAATAACTGTTTTAGAATTTATATACTCTAGAAACTGCTGCTTAAGAATTACGATTTCCTGATTGAGACAACAAAGGAGCCATGAAGATGCAAAGGAAAATAGTAAGATTGATAGTTGAATAAGTGTTGATCCGTATAGTTATGAGGTAAAGGCTATCACACATGGCAAAAATCCCTGGAAAAACTTCTAAACTGATTAAACACAATGAGTTTTAGACTCTTCATTATATTAAGGCTTAAAAACAGTACCAAAACTACTTTCTTAAGCTTCATCTGAAAGAATAGACAAACTAGAGGTGAACTCGGTTTAAACATCCTATTGAAGAAGCAAACAAGACCTTAAGAATATATTTGATGGAAATCAAAATAAGATTTAAACAAAGAGTCTGGCAAAGGCATTAAATATGTATATCATACCATGGATGAATGGGAAATCTGTGTGCACTTTGGTAGGGGACAAGCTGGTTACTCAGGGTCACTGGCTCAATTCTATACCTCCTTGTATGAGTCCCTCATTCCTCTATTCTCTTTCATACAAATCATACTTTCAAATGCTGTACATTAATATACCTAAACCTTGCCTTTCCTACTTTGATTTCAGATTTTATGCTCTAGTGCACAGACATCTGCAATTGTAAGTCTGCCTTTCAAAGTCAGAATCACTGCCATTTAAGTCTCCACATCAAGGTGGGGACTCAAATACTTGAATGTTTTATTGCATTTAACTCTTGCTATTTTATAAAAATAAGTGGACATCAGAAAAATGCAAGTGACACCAATGATAAGAAATGTAGAGCTCAAAAATTTAATACAATTGAAACAAAGGGGAGCTTGTCAGTCTTGCCAAAAACGGCAAATTTTTAGCATCAGGTGGATAGTTACTGGCCGAAACAGGAAAAAATTAAAAAGCATGTATGAAACATGAGTTATCATTAGGGATTTTATATCTGGGGATCTGTAAAAATGGAAATTCCCCTTATAACATGTACATTTACAAGTTGCACATATTCAACTTCTTTATGTTTTCAGGGTTTTTTTTTTTTTTTTTTTTAAATATATCTTTATTGATTTCAGAGAGAGGAAAGGAGAGGGAGAGAGATAGAAACATCAATGACGAGAGAGTCATTGATCAAGCCCGCAACCCAGGCATGTGCCCTGACCAGGAATCGAACCCCGATCGCCTGGATCCTACGTCGACGCTCAACCGCTGAGCCACGCCCGGCCGGGCCAGGTTTACATATATGCAACAACAGAGAACTGAATTCTCATGCTGTTATGGATTCTTTCAATGACNCAGGTTTACATACATGCAACAACAGAGAACTGAATTCTCATGCTGTTATGGATTCTTTCAATGACCAAAAAAAGTGATTTGTTAAAATGTTTTTGCTATAAGATATCACTGACTTAGTGAGTCATACCTCCAAGGAATATGGGACTGACTAGTTGATTTTTTTCCCAAGTCATCAAATATTTACTGGTCACCACCTGTGTTCGAGGCACATGTTGGACTCTGAGTCCAACAGAAAAGCCAGGGGCCCGACTTGCCAGAGACTCTGAAGTCAGACCCTCACATCAGTGTCTGAAAATAACCCCTAACATGGATATGGCACTTATCTATCATACATAAAGCAGAGACACCCAGGATCAGAGGGAAGATGTGGCTGCCCCAAAGCAGAGCCAGGACCCTGAACCTCGGTCTCCTAACATCAAGTTCAACATCTTTTCTTTTTTATCATTGTTTCTTTTAGATTTTGTGACTTTAAAAAGAGGATACTCACAGATGGAGGCACTTATGCCACCTGAATGGGAAAGGTAATTTTTAGGCTGGAAGCTTTGGCTGAGACCTTTCAGCTCCTAGGACAGCCACTCATTCTTTCCACTTGCACAAAAGACCTCAGCACTTAAATCTTCACCTTACCAGTAAATGGAGTTTACAAAACAATGCTGGATGGACACATTCCTGTAAGATCAGTTTCTAACCCTGACATCTACCCATCTAGGCCCTGTCTGTGATCCTGCCTTTTTCAGCCACTGCATGATTTTCCTTCTGACTTCTTTCACTTTAGGATTTGTAGAACCATTCCTGGCTCGCTCTTCTTTCTTCCTCCTCTTTAAAATTAACATTTTACTTTTCTTTCTGACCCTGTGCAATACGTTCTTTCTCTTTTTGGTGAATTCAGCCTGAAAGGGAAAAACATGTTTAACTAACTGCTTTGAGATAATAAAATTGAAAGTTTCATTTTCTATACTTAAGAATGATTTATTATATGATTTATTCAGGCATAAAATAAAGAACTGAAAGTAAATATAATGCAAACATATGTAAATCTGGGGTGGTCTTCATAATTATTATAAAAGCTCCAGTAGGACTTCCCTAATTTTCTAGTTAAGGTAACTGCTAGATACTATCACAGGTGGAGAAAGGTCAAATCAGATGAGTGTTTTTAAAACAAATGCAATATTGGGGGGCTTGTTAACTTCTGTGGTTTTTTTTGTTTGTTTTTTGTTTTTAAATATATCTTTATTGATTTCAGAGAGAGGGAAGGAGAGGGAGAGAGAGAGATAGAAACATCAATGATGAGACAGTCATTGATCGAGCCCACAACCCGGGCATGTGCCCTGACTGGGAGTCGAACCCCGATCGCCTGGATCCTAGGTCGACGCTCAACCGCTGAGCCACGCCTGGCCAAGCTTCTGTGGTTTTTGAATTAAAACTCAAATGTCAACATACACTGAATTAGCCCTATATATTAAATAAACAGCAGGCAATCCATGAATGTTACCTTGTATGGATAAATATAGAAGAAACTTTTGCTTGACTGTTTCTGTAGAAGCATCTGAAGGCACTTACAGGCCTCCCAACCTAAGCAACATGCTTTTTTGATAGGATAAATTCAGAAATCTCTGACAAATAATTTTAGAGGAACTTTAAAATCTTCTTAGCAAACAGGATATAAATGTGTCATAGTTGCTCACCTTTCCATCAAAGCGTTTTATTATATATTGATCCAGGCCCAAGTCTGTAAAAGAGCAAAAAAATTTAGTCACTGATTATAACTCAAATGAAACATGAAATGACAGCTCTCAGTTTTGTTTTCAATCATTCAATTAAATGTACTAGATGGTTTAGCCACAACGTTATTCCAAGGTCACAAGAATAAAACTTTTGTCCCACTTTCAGAGTCAAGTGCAAGTGCTAAAAGATACCAATGTTTTACTTTACATATGAGAAGTGAGGCTCTAAGAAGACAAAGGGGATGAAAGGGGGTGAAAGCTCATGTGCAAACCTACTCCACAGCAGAGCTAAATTAGAGTCCTGGACGCTTCCTGGGTGGTGCTCTTTTCATTACATCAAGGTGCTAATTACCTCTAAATAAACTGAGGGACATTTGTTTAATCTGAATACGTAATAATTTTTTGTTGAAGTTAAAGAAAGATGAGTTTGATAACAGAAGAATTTTTTGTAACACATTTAAACTGATACAAATAGACCATCTTACTATTGCCTTTAATAATTGGGTTAAATAATATTTACCTTGGGAATACTTAGCATTGAATTCTAAGCACTGTGAAAGATACAAGTAAATATATCAAGAGCACTTGAGGGCAGGGATTTTTTCTTTGTGTTTGCCTACTGCTTTATCCCAGGAATAGTGCGTAATAAATGTCTATTAAAAAATGAATTAGATACAATCCCTGCCTTGAAGAATCACAATTTAGTTAGAAAGACATATTTGTTTAGTGATTTTTTTTCCAAATTATCTTTGCAAAGATTGTATTCCTTGTCATATGCCATCATTTAAGTTTCTTTTCTATTATCTAAACAGTAAGTGACACAATAGAGGTTTCCTTAAATGTTAGAGGCAAAAAGAATTAAAAAACAAAACAAAAGCACCCCTAACTCTCCTACTATATGCAGACTGGCTCTGAGCTGGGGTTCTTCTTTGGTGTTTAGCTAGACCAGGGGTGAATGTCTGGCCTGCGGGCCATATAAAGCCTGCAAAATCATTTGGTCCAGCCCTGCCAAGGCCTCACCAAAGAGAAGCAGTTCCAGATATCACATTAGGGGTGAGTTAATTAAATGTTTGACCAAATATAGCAGGCTAATTTTAAGTTGATAATTTTGTACGGCCTGCGAATGATATTGTAAATATCCAAATGGCCCTTGGCAGAAAAATGGTTCCCCACCCAAGTTAGACTTTCTACAACTCTGCCTTAACTTTCACCTTCTTTCCAAGCCCTGAGAACACACATTGCACTCTGGATTGCCCTGGATATGCAGTAGCCCTTCAAAGCTCTTATCCCCTGGGAAATGTCTTTCTCCTCAGTGTCCTCCTTTCTAGGCTCTTCAGTCTGTCTGCTGCTTGTCCCATCTGCCCTCTCTTAGCCTGGGAGCTACAGGTAGTATATGCCTTACATTTTTTCAGTAGGTGACATCTGGGAAACTACTCCAGCTTGGGTGGGTGAAAGAAAAGGAAAAGCCTTTGGGCTGGTTCCTCAGGGAGCTGCCAAACAAGTAAAAATGCACAACCACAATTTTTTTTTGAGAATAAAGTCTGTGTTACCCCAATGAACTCCCCATTACCTGTAAGCCACAATAGGAATGTGGCTGCTGAGCTGGGAAATAGGGCATCGTTGGCAGGTCAGCAAAAGGCCAGAAAACTTTCTTACTAAAATTTAGCAGCCTCTTTCTTTATTAAGTACTCCCTGGTGCTGTAAGGTTTTTTTATTAGATTCCAGAGGTCCAATAAAGTTGTTTCTGCCCATTTTTGGCAGCTTAATGGTTGCTTCAGCGGAAGGATTAATTCTTAGAGCTCTCTACTCCGTCATTTTCCCCATCGTGCCTCCCATAGACATTTGTAAATTGTTACATTTAACTTAAAATGTTAAGCTATTTATTGTCTTTCGTCAAGCCGTGTTTGTTCAGGTTGTTTCCCCTATATGAGACATCCTTTCCACTATTCTTGAAGCATATTTAAGATAGTCGATTTAATGTCTTTGTGAAGTAAGTACAATGCCTAGATAGGCTTTCATCCAAACTTGGATGCATTCTCCAGAAACCATTCTCCCAACTTTCAGATTTAGCTAAGTGCCCTTCTTTATACTGTGACAGCACCACCTTTCTTTAACAAGTCACTACCTTCCTGAAATTACCCACTACTGTCTGTCCTCCTCACTAAAGAGCAACTTGGTGGCAGTCACATACGTAATGCGCTGCCTTCAGGAACGTTCTCATCACAGGCAATGAACCTCAGCCGGAGGAGTCCACTGTCCTCAATCCTCTAACCTGGCCGAGGACTGCCACATTAGACTGTGGGCTCCTCTTTTGTACTCCTAAAGCCTAGCATAATGCCTGACATATAGTAGCTATACAGTGAATATAATTATTGCATGGATCGATAAAACTTAGGCAATACATAGAAAGAAACAAAGTAGCATATAACAAAAGAAATATCACAATCTTATTTTTCACATTAGCAACTTACGTTCTGGTTGTTTCTCATTGGGTGTTATGGATCGCACAAAATCTTGTGGAGTCATAAACACTTCAGATTCACCATGCTCACTGATTACTTTCAAGGTAGCAAAATATCGGAAGATTTTGTCTGGTGTGGAATATGCTCTAATCCTATTCTCATATTCCATTACCTAAAATTGGAAACCCAGAGTGTTACTATTAAGCAATTCTCATTTTCATACATTTTATATCTTATTTTTTGGGGAAATTTGATTATGTCGCTTTTTTTCCTATTACTAGATTTTTTTTATATTGTTGTCATTATAATTTATTTTAAATTTATCTTTATTGTTCAGAGTATTACAGGTGTCCCATTTCCCCCCCACTTTGCTCCCACCCCCTCCCCAGGCCTTCACCCCGTTATCGACTGTGTCCATCGGTTATGCATATATGCATATGACTTCTTTGGTTAATCTCTTCTCACCCTCCACCCCCTTTCCCTCTTTCCTCTGAAATATGATTGTCTGTTGCATGCATCAATGTCTCTGGATCTATTTAGTTCCTCAGATTCTTCTGTTCATTAGCTTCTTCTTAAAGAAGACCTTTCAACATTTCCTGTAGTGCTGGTTTGGTGGTGATGAACTCCTTTAGCTTGTCCTTATCTGTGAAGCTCTTTATCTGACCTTCAATTCTAAATGACAGCTTTGCTGGGTAGAGCAATCTTGGTTGTAGTTCCATGTTTTTCATCACTTTGAATATTTCTTGCCACTCCCTTCTGGCCTGCAAAGTTTCTGTTGAGAAATCAGCTGACAGT